TATACTCAAAGCACTCTCCATTGACTCCTTCACTAAATAAAGAGGATAATTATTTTCTCCCCAGAACAGTGTCATTTTGGAGGAAAACAATGGGTTTCCTGGAAGTACTAGGAAGTGCTGAACAGACACATCTGGCTTTAAAACCCAGTTTCTCTATTTATAAAATGTATGACCATTGGCTAGTTATTTGCCTCATTAAGTTTTAGTTCTTTCATTAGTAAAATAAAGGATAACGCTTTTTGTAGAGAGTGGTGTCAGAATTAAACAAGATAACACAAGGAAAACCTTTAACCCCTGGATGGAAGAAAATAGGCAGTCAATGTGTCTTGGCTCTTTTTTCTTCATCCATGTTGGAAATAAAACCTTCCATTGTCTACACAATGCCTTTCAAGGAGAAGGCTAGAGTCCCCATCCATTCCATTGATCATTACTCAGTAAAGACACAGATGTGTTATCACAGCTACTCATTCACCCCCAGTGTTTCTCATTGGCTCTCTAGTTCCTGCTCTTGCTCTGACTAACAGTAGGCTGGAGGCATATAATAAGGATAGGCAGTGAGCAATGTGGGAGCATCAGTGGACACCTGTGTAATCTAGTACAAATGAAAGGTGATGAGCAGCCAAGTGAATGAAACAATGGAGTACTCTTGGTTATCTATTCAAACCTACCACAACCCAGCACAAATACAGATTCAGAATAGGTATGATTCAGGTATTCTTTTCGGGAAAGATAAACCTTACTGGGTCCATGTTAATCTCAAGTAAGGGGCTAGAAATGGCCAAAGTGAGGGATACTTGTGAGGGTCTGCATTGGTTCAAGGACCTTTGCCTCTATGGATTTGATAATAACCTTTTTATATCCCTGGAAATGATCTTATGCCTGTAGTTCTTCAAAGGCTTGATAGCTATCTCTAGTTGGAGAAGTTATGGTTTTGCACTGAGAAGCATGCCTGTAGGCATGCTGTAAGGAGGGAGTGGATGTTGGTTACAGGAATAGTGTAGAATCTTTCATTTGCAAGAAATATGAAAATTAGGACAAACAAAATGAGCTATGTGGCATACATTGCATAAGAAATCACTAGTCAAATTCATGATATGTTTTAGCAAAAGGAGGGGAGAAAATGCTTGTACAAGAAAAAGTATAGTTAGGAATTATTACAGGAGTACCTGGCCTGTCAGTGCACGATCAACAAAGAATTCTGGGTAAGTTAGTTAACAATTGGGGTTGACAGAATTGGGAAATCATTATGAAAATGTGTATTGGACTTGGCTAGAAGGAAAAGAGGAAGAAAATAATAAATAATCTATTGACACTCCAACGTAAAGTAGAAACACTAGAATACATTAGTGGCAGTCAGGAAGATAAAGATCATAATGGTATATAATAAAGAAAGAAACTGGGGAAAATGCAAATTTATGCTAATTAAAGAAAGTGGTTGTAAATAATTGATCATTTCTTAGTCATACATTTGTGAAGAAAAATTTGATGATCCAAATTATGAAAAAGATTAACATATAATATGAGCCTATTTTGTATATTATTTTGAAAATGAAAAAAAACCCCTGAATTTCATCCATAAATCATTTCATTTGTTTAAATTGTCGATGGCTATAGTAAAGCCTAAAATTTCAAACTGTGGATTATAACTCTTGTAATGGATCAGGTAATCCATTTAGTGGACCATATGGGGCATTTGAAAATATAGCAGTATAGAAATTATCAGAGTGTCTTTCATAAAGTAAGGGGAATTACTGTTTTGTTACATTATTGTGTGTGTGTGTGTGTATGTGTGTGTACACAATGGGTTTGTGTTTGTGTGTGTGTACACAGTGGGTTTCAAAAGTTTCAAAGCCACCAACACAGATGACTTCTCATGTACCCTTGCAATGATTCTGTATGTTAAGCAATTTGAGTTCTGTAGATGGAAATAATTTTGTTGGGTTTCCCATAATTCTCCCATCTAGGAATATTATTCCTTCTGTGTTGCATAGAGTTTTAATTGAGCATCTCCCTTTTAGATTGCAAAAAGTTGTTAAATTATTAAAAACAAACCAAACAAAATAAAACAACAACAAAAACAAAGAAGAAACACTATGGATCTCCTTTTAAAGTTGTTCCAAAGCTGTGGAGCTTGTAGTCATGATTAAGGGAAGCTCCATGATATGAAAACATTTTTTCCATGCTTCTCTTCTTTTGTTTCATAGCATGAGTTCATCAAATGATCTGTTTAATTAGGGGGTACTCTAAGTGCATCAATTAGAATTAAATGCCTGTGTTTTTTTTTTTAAAGTCCATTTGGTCTTGCAGGTATTGGAAGCTTTTCTTTGCATTTTTTTGGTGATAAACGTATGCATAAACCTTGCACGTCATGATTCTTTATAGAGCAGTTAGTACAGAATTTACAAGAATACACATGATCTTTGCTGGCTTTTCGCACACTGACTTAATAAGCAGGAGCCCAGTGCTACCCTTCCTTATTATGTTCCTTTGCTATTATCCATAAAAGCCCAGTTTTGGACTTGTGGGAATGATGAGAACTGTCTCAACAGGCCAACTCTGTAGCTTGTAATTCCATAGAGTGCTGCCAACGAACTGCTGTGGTGGGAAGTGAGTTAGGTTTCCATATAGCCTGTTCTCTGCATTGATTGGAGATTTTGGTGAACTTCATGAAGGTTTTTAACACCTGATCACTGTTTGAAGAGATGAATGAGGTTGTTTTGATCTGTAGCCCTAACAAAAAATTCATTACTTTGTGAGTGTGTTTTTTTCCCACTCTGTGCACAGTTAGGTGTACACCTCCTGTATACTTGACATGTTTTTGGTCTTTGTCCCATTCCATGGTCATGAATTTTACAAGTAAAAAATTTTAGGGTTTTAATCACAATTGACTGATATTTATCATTGGTATAAAAACAGTAAAATTATACTTTGAGAGCTGCTAGCAATGACAAAAAAGCACACACATTGTATTCTTAGGCAACTGATATTAAAAAAAAAAAAAACCTTATCAGAAGAGACTTAACAGTCCTTGAACAATTTGAGGCTTAGAGTGAAGCCATCTTTGCTACTACTAATTTTCTTCTATGGATTTCTTGCATTTCACTAGCAGTAGTTTTGGGCCTCATTTTAGCAATGCTGAGGTGACATTTTCTTTCTGCTCTAAACACTTAATGGTTTTAATTAATGGTATTTATTCAGCTCATGCTTAGCAGTTTTATTTTTGCAAAGTGATTTATAATAATTTTTATTAGTTATTCTAAATTGAGATTTAGCATGTCATAAAGGAAATATTTTAAGAAAGGAAGCTATTCCTACCCAGCATTTGTCTAAACAGCATAATTATAACTGCATTACTTATGGATTGTTTAATTCCTTAATCCATAGAATGTAAATATATTACTCCAACCTGCAATTATGAAAGGTCTGCAAAGCTGGAATTGTGAAGTTCAACTGATTTCTATAAGAATTCTTGAAATCAAGATGAGGATATGTCTATGGCTAAAACACTATTAGAGAAAAAAGAAGTTGGAGTAATCATATAAATTATTAGACAGTAATGACAATCGACATTTAGTAGTGCATTTAATTAAGCCATACCATTTAGAAATCAAGAGTATCAGAATAATGGTATCACTTTTACTCCTGGAAGCATATAATACGTATTAATATGTTTGCAACTAGACCAAGCTGGTAATTGGAAAATACTTTTGGCATGAAATAAAGCAAAATTCTCATGGGCATGTTCATTTTTGAATTAAATATTCTAGGTTTTGTATATCTGGATCTTTTGTATACCCAAAGGACAAAAATTTAGCATAAATAGTACATTATTGAGTTTGCATTTATTACTTTTGTATACATTGTAGAATGTAATGCGCAAATGTAAAGTCTGGAAATTAGAAAATTTGGAATGAAATGTGATATTCTAAAGACATTAACTCAGTACATGATTTTCAACTGATTTTTCATTATTGAAAGACAATCCAGTCTTTAGATTATGTGTTCTTTAGTTTGCCTTTTTGTCTCTGCTTTGGCTGTTACACTACGTGTGTATGGATCTCCCCTAGAGAAGGCTTTGCCATGGGAGAAGGGACAGAATGCTGACAGCTTCCCTGATTACCAGTGTTTCTGAGTAAGGCAATGGCAGGAAGAGGGAAGTAAAGCCAACTAAAAATGCCAGGGAAACTGCCACTCATTTTATATAAAGCCATATTTTTCAGAATTTAAATGCAAATTTTAGGCTACCAAACAATGAAAAATGAATTTTATGAAAAATTTCTTTTCCTGGTTACTATGGTATTTATAAGAGAAAGAAACCATAAACAACCATCTAGGTTTATGGGAAAAGACCCAATTAAAAAATCAGAGGGGGGATAGTACGGGATAGGAAAGGTAGCAGAATACAACAATTACTAATTGGGCATTATGTAAAACTGTGGATGTATAACCGATGTGATTCTGCATTTGGGGGAAAATTGGGAGTTCATAACCCACTTCAATCTAATGTATGAAAATATGATATGTCAAGAGCTTTGTAATGTTGTGAACAACCAATAAAAAAAAAAAAAAAAAATCAGAATGTCAGACAAGCACATCCTTGACTCAGTGTCTCTCCCTCTCTCTCTCTCTCTTTTTTAAAGGAACATGTAATATAAACATGTAGCTACACAGCATCTGCATAGATATTAAATATGATAAAAAGATTTACGAATGTACAACTGTGACCTGAATGAAAGGGCATGTCTAAACACAATGAATCCAGTTTTCTGCTTACACTGGCAAAGAAACCAACTACTGTGCCTAAAAAAACAGTTTAGTTTTATTAGCTAAATAAACAGACTAATCAACACCACTGATCCCCTGTTCCCACTTACTCAAAGCTTTTTGAAAAGCTGGGATGTTTCTCAAAGGCAAGCTACGGATTTCTAATGCCAAAAGGAGGTTTTAAATACTCCAAAATTCAATGATGGTTTCCATGGTGACTCCCCCCAGCCACTTACTTGGAACGGAAGAGTGCTTCCCCTTCAAACATCAGATCCCCAAGTCCCTTCAGTCCTGTAGCAAAGGGCTGAAAAAAGGAATGGCTGACTTTGAGAAAGGTATTTGGTGTTGGCAAGCTCTTCTTATGTCAATATAGATTTCATTTCCTCATTAGACCAGTTTCTGGATGTTCTATTGGATCTCGTTCTTTCTTTGCCACCCATGATGTTTGTGTTCTGGTCAGGGCAGAGGGAGAGTATGTATAAAGTGTGGGTGGGCCAGCAAGGGATGCATTGGCTTGTGTGTGCTTTTCAGATTCACCCAAAGGTGAATCTGATGTGAATTGGAGAAGAGAGTGCTGAAGTGGCAGGTTTCATTATTTTTTACCTGGGACACCTTAAAGGGCCAGCCTTTTTAATCTATGAAATACCTGGGTGGATTTCATGGTATTTCATATGTAGTTTATCAAATATATGTGGTTTATTAATAACAAACAAAAAAGATTTTTTTAAAGTAGAAAAACATGGAGATAAAATGTGTGTGAATATATAATATAATATATATATATGTATATGTATAGCTTTATATAAATTTATATAATGAAAATGGAACCATACCTAAACTTACCCCTCTGCAGCTTCCTGATTTTTCTTAATATTGCATTGTGAATAGCTGAAAGGATGGACCATATCATGTTTAACTGATTCCCAGGTGGTTTTCAGTTTTCTTATTTTATAACTTTAAAGAATGATGTGGAGTATATCTTTGTGTAATATTCTCTTTCTGTTGACTTGGGGTCAATATTCTCCTGGGAAAATTCCCAGAAAAACCTTTTAAAGTTTTTAAAAGGTTTACTTTTATTATTAGTCTTTTAAAAAAAGGTTTACTTTTATTATTAATCTTTTCATTAACTATAAAGACACAATACTTTCTGTAGAGTCCTTTGTGTCTAAATGGTGATCATTTAGACTACATGAAAATGTTGATACAGCTTTCCCAGGCATATGCTTTGATCTTTCTACAGAATTAGAATTCAGAAAAGAAGGATTTGGATGTCTGCAATATGGAATCTGTTATAATAACTAATATTTATTGAATGTTTACTATGTATCAGACTTTCTGAGCACTTTGCATCTACTTATTCACATACTTCATACAACAAACTGATGAAGTTGATACCTTTTACTAATGTGGAAAGTGACACAGAGAAGTTAGCTCACACTAACTTCTGACTAATTGTGACTTAGGTCAAAACAACTAGTAAATGACTAAGGTCATACAACTAGTAAATGGAACCTGTCATGGTTCAAAACAATGTAATTTGAGTCTAATGTGGACAGTTAATCACAACCCAATGCTTTCTTTCATGTTGACCATCTCTAGTTGTAAGGAATTAAACACACTTGCTTTGGTTTTACCTTATACGTACTTGGGTAAACGATAACTCAACCTGTGTTCCCCAGGGTCACAGGGGCATCCAATTGCAAATACCAATTTCTTTTCATTGCCATTTTTTGAGGCTTGATAAAATTGTAATTCTTCTACTGCACACTGATTTGTTCTCTTGTGGAGCATTTTATTTCTACATTTGATTTTAGCTAACAGGCTGAGAAACAATTCCATTTTATTTCTCTAGCAATTCAATGAAACATGAAATGGTGGGGGAAAAGACAATAATGTCATAATTGAGGGAGGCATCATGAGACAGAAGGTAGAAGGATCAGGGCAAGGGTGGTAGTTGAGAAAAAAAGAAGAGAACTATATAAAAAAGCAAAACCAAAAGCCCTGGTTTACAGATGGTGCATAAATCAAGAGTATTTATCAAAAATACCCACATTGGTGGTGTCTAGGAATACATATTTTTGCCGCTCTTGAAGTGTCAAAACCAACCAGTAAGCAAACCCTGATAATTTTGAAAGAGTGTTACACTAATTTTCCTACTGGCACACACTCTTTTATATACTGGCTAGTTGATTAAAATGAGGATTTTTTATTTTTATTTTATTTTATTTTTTTTAAAAGAGAGAGAGAGAGAATTTTTAATATTTATTTTTTAGTTTTCGGCGGACACAACATCTTTGTTTGTATGTGGTGTTGAGGATCGAACCCCGGTCGCACACATGCCAGGAGAGTGTGCTACTGCTTGAGCCACATCCCCAGCCCCTAAAATGAGGATTTTTTAAAAAAAAATATTTATTCTAATTAGGTATATAGGAGTGCATTTTGATACATTGTACACAAATGGAGCACAACTATCATTTCTCTGATTGTACATGACATAGTGTCGCACCACATATGCAGTCATACATGTACCTAGGATAATGATGTCCATCTCATTCCACCATCTTTCCTGCCCTCATGACCTCCCTACCTTCCCTTTTGCCCAAAGTTCCTCCATTCTTCTTATGCTCCCCTCATCCATTATGGATTAGCATCCACTTATCGGAGAGAACATTCAGCCTTTTGAGTTTTTGGAATTGGCTGACTTCACTTAGCATCATATTCTCCAACTCCATCCATTTACCTGCAAATGCCTCCTTGGTCTATACGCAAAGGACTTAAAATTAACCACATCAATTTTTATAGCAACTCAATTGACAAATAGCTAACCTGTGGAACCAACCTAGATGCCCTTCAATAGATGAATGGATAAAGAACTGTGGTATATATACACAATGGAATATTACTCAGCATTAAAAGAGAATAAAATGAGATTTTTGATGAACTCTGAAGGAGGATCTAAATTTTGGAAAAGGAGAGTACCTTCGATGATAAATTTACCCTCCAGATCAATATTAGAGCCTTAAGAATGCACAAAATTGCAAAACTCACACATTTCTCCGATACTGATTAAGGCTCTGTGTTTGAGCAGGGATATGTCCATCAAGGGCCAGGAGGAGGGGAGACTTCTGGTATTTCCAACTCAATTTTTTTCCCTTATGAAGATGAAAAGGGAGTGAGCCAGGGGGTTCTGATATAGACATCAACCTGAGCTCTTCTCCACAAGCAAATAGGCTTTCCACTGTGCATTAAATAAACAATTTGTGCCATTTCCCTAAAGGCAAGTACAGTATTATAGAGTGGGAAAAGTTGTCATGTGGCAATCTGATTATTTCATTAACTTACTCTATAAGAACATTTATTGCCCCACCCAAGCAGCATCATCCACATCCCATTGTTATGTTTTACTGAGGGGATGATGTCAGTGGCAGGGAATGTGGAGATAGGAAAGTTGTCTGCAGCTGCCCATTCCTTTAGGTATAGAGGTGATGGCTCACCAGACTTCCACAGGGCAGATTTCTAGCTTGTCTCCTTCAGTGATGACTGTTGTTTAATCTTACTGTAGCTGGTGTATTGACTTTTTGTGTAATCGTTTAATATTGTTCTTCCATAGAAATTCTTCAGTAAGTTTCATGAGGGCAAAGACTGTACCATGTCTTGTTAACTGGGGTTTATCCCCACTGCTGAGCATAGTGTTCAATACGTACTACATTCTATGAATTGTTGAATGAATGAATGCTGTAAAACAGGCTAGAAATATGGCAGGTGGTAAAAGACAACTATAGGCTCTGAGTCCTGCACTCTGTGCTAGGATAAATTTGTTAAGACATTTTAAGATATGAAGAAAGACAAACGATGAGAGGGAATAATGGATACCCATGTGGGTTATAAACTCTGTTCTTGGAGTTTAAGAAAGGCATAAGAACGCAAATTAAAAAGCAGATCTGTTCCTCTTCTCTGTAATTCTGATCATTCTCCCACTCTGCCTCTACTAATTGGGTATTGGGTTACAGTGAGATTTGCAATTTCCTAGGAAATAAGGAAATGAATTAATAATGAAAATTATTACAGTATTTATTTTCATGTCAAGCAATGTCCTTAATCAACATCACTGAAGAGATAATAGTCTTGGCTTACACAGTTGAAGTTAGAATATAGATAGAGGCATTCAATATGCTGGTGGACTGAGAGGTTATTCAACATTATTTTGGTTCTGTAAATTGTGTCCTCATGAGGTTATTGAACTACACAGCAATACCCCCACTTCTACAACCAGCACCAATATTGCTACCACTACCACCACAATAATAGAAGTTACCCAGAGAATAAATAGTAGAACCAAGCTTTGAACAATCCTAGGATTGTCTGACTTGAAAGCTTATGCTCTTTCTTTTATATTCTTGTTATGAAGTGTAGTCTTCACAGGCAGGTCATCCTATAAGGAATAGGATAGTTTTATCCCTTTTGATACCACTACTGACAGTTAGGTATGTACACAATTATTAATCAGACAATTCCCCTTATTTTAGTGGTCTCAGTTCATGGCTAAGCAGCAGAGTTCAAATTCTGTTGCTCTTGCCCTGATCTCTTAACTTTCTTTCCTTATCTTTTAAGTGGAGCCATAGTTCAGGAGAGTGAGGTGTGAATCACTAACAATGCAGAGGATAGGGGAAAGTGGACTCAGTGGGGTAGCTCAGAAGGAACTAAAGATTACCTCCATGAAAGGACATTTTATCTTTATGCTTGATTTTGCACCTAGGTGAGTTCAAACTTGGAGAGGCTATGAAAAGGAAAAATAATTCTTAATGGCTACCGTGTATGTTCAAGATTTGATCATGTAAAGTTAGAAAGACAAGACACTCAAGGACCCATCAAATACACATATTTGAAATTTCAGTTCCACTTATTTTTTACTGACTTTATTACTCATTTTGTTATATATACTATTTTGATAATATTATTTTTCACTAAAATGATATTCCTAAAATACTGTGGTCCTTTATAAGGAATAAATTAATATTTGGCAATAACTAAAAGACCAGAGAGCTAGAAATCAGAATCATACAAGTAGAAGGAAGATGATGTTTTAAAAAATATATTAAAATAATAGCAAAAGGTTTATTATATTGCCATTTCTTGGCCCATAGAGGAAAACTATTTTTAATTAGTTTATTTGTTCCTTTTGGTACTTAACTTCTGAATTATATATCTATATGATATAGTTGTTAATTTATTTCTAGGTGCTGCAGTACGGCTGCAGCAAAAAATAACCGAGCCACCACAAAAACTTGTAGATTCAAACAGCAACTCTTTATTTCCAAACTCTCCCCGACACTCTACACGCACATTCTGGGAAAAATACACTCCCTCCACCGGGCTCTGCGTACCAATTCTCTCAGAACCTCCAGAGAACTCAATGGTAACTCTAAAGGAGCGGGTGCCTGAGGCAGCAGGATACGCCCTATTCCCAGCAGGATACGCCCTATTCCCAGCAGGATACGCCCTATTCCCAGCAGGATATGCCCTATTCCCAGCAGGTTCCACCTTAAACCTGGAGCCACCCTAATTCAGCAGGATCCACCCCAAACCTGGAGCCACCCTAATTCAGCAGGATCCACCCCAAACCTGGAGCCACCCTAATCCAGGAGGATCCACCCTAATCCCTGAGCAGGGTCACCTTTCAAAGTAAAATGCCATGTGTCATTCCTACTTGGCTATGGCTCTCAGCACTAGGTATTTCAGTTTAGTTATTATCTACTGACTTTCTAATATGGAATGGAAAGGAGATAACTTTTTTAGAAAGTGTTTGGTACATAAGCTGGGAAAAAACCAAAAACTTTAGGCCAGGTAAATAACAGATGCATCACTTGGCCATAGGAGTACATTATACACTTCTCTGAGTGTATAAAGAGGAGGCCATTAAGTGCTTTTTAAAATAACATTTTCTATTATTTTTCTTCACTTTTACTTCCTAATGAGCATGTTTAAGGTGTGGGCTTTTCTCTTGTCACTCCAGTTTTATGAGGGCTGTCCAATTAAGTGAACTGGGATTATCTACTTCACTGTGTGATAGGAGTGTCTTTGAGGAGTGTACTTCATATCAGCCATGGTTTAATTTAGACATATCAGTACAAGATAATAGACAGCTAAACATCCTGAACTAGTGTTTTTTACATCTCCCTCCCACTCCAAAATACCAGATACAGTCTTTTGAGCTGTTTCTTTCTGCGGTGGTTACCCAGAGTCATTTTGTAGCATTCCAATCATTAATGTAATACAATAATTGACTTATCTCAGTCTGCTGCAACATGGGAGGATGGGTTGAGTGAAGATACTTGGTATAGTCTGAAATAAAATGAAACAATATATATAAAGGCACACCAAGAAGATTTGAATGGTAGATATTGTTACATGTAAACCTGATTATGTTCCAATAGGTTTAATTAATATAGTTGCCTTTAGTTTAAACCAGGAGTTGGCAAAGTGTGGTCTTCTGGCCAAAACTGGCCACACCCATCACTTGCGTATTGCCTACAGCTGCTTTCTCACAGACAGAATATCCTGTTGGCCAAGCCAACATTTACTATCTGGCTCTTTGCAGGAAAAGTTTCTTGACCCCATGGTTTAAACCAATATCTTATCCCATTTCTAATTGTGTCTACTTTCCTGAAAAATAAGCCTCCAAATCCAAACTCTTCGCAAAACAAAACAACAAAACACATTGGTTTTGTATCTCTTCTTGTTATAGTGTATCATTTAAAAAATGAAATGACCCTAGTAAGTTCCAAAATAAAAATTTCCCTTTGGCAGTTTGAATAGTCTCAGTCTTTAAATACTAAACACGTTAGTTTGTTTCATTGGAAGGAAGTAAAAAAAATATTTAAACATATGTAATTACTATTTTGGGAGAGCTTCCAGAATCTTAACACTCTAAATAGAACATAGTAATATTGGTATTATCTATAGGGCATAGTAGTGAAAGCAGAAATAGAGCCAAGAGCTTTGAGTTCAGTTTATTTTGTCCATAACGGACAAAAAGTTTCATATTGATTATGCATTTCTGCAAGGGTTTTAAATCTTATTGGCTTACTAGCAAGTAAAATAGTATTAAATAGCCACTCTGTCAGAGCCAGGAGTCAGTAGCTAAAATAACTGCTATCTTGGGGGATATTGTTTATTGTTAACAATTGCTCAAATGGAGTGTTCAGTATCTATTTCTAATTGTTGTAGAGGCAAAATAGATGGTCATTATTCACTTATGGAATAAAAAGTCCTAATTACTAGGAAAATAATTTACTTTCAAAATTTAATATAATTACATTAAAATAGTTCTCAGATCAACATATTTCTGGAAAAAAAAACCCATTCTAATTAGCCAAGGCCAAATTCTTCCATTTTACACTTCTTGTAAGATTGATGAGGAGAAAATATTAGGTGTTAAAAAGAAAAAAATACAGAGAATTGTTTTTGAAAACAAACAACTTTGTGTTTCAATTCCCTAACCATCTGTCATGCATACGAATTTTATCCATAGCAGTCTAATTCTATTTGTAGCTCCACTTATGTGAACTTAGAGATATGTGCAGGAAAACTACTTATGGAATGTAAGGGGAATCAAGAGATTTGAAATATGCATCAGGGTTTTAAAATATGCCTTCCTTTTACTCTAGCTTTTATCAAACTTGAATGTACTTTACTATCAAACATAATTTAGAAGAATTAAGTGCCAAATTTATGTCTGAACTTCAGATTCCTTGTCTTTCTCATAGTTACTACTAATACAGTTATTCAACCTTCATTTGAGTAAGTGAAATAACATTTGGTTTGAACATCTTGCTAAGGATATCATTGCTGCTATCAAAAAATGTAGGGGCTTACATTAATAATCACTTTATTATCCTCATGGGTTCTGTGGGTTAGGATAGGGCACAGCAAGATGGCTTGTCTCTGCTCTCTAGTGTTTAGGATTCCAAGCTGAGAAGATTTGAGGGCTGGTGTGGTTTGATGGCTGGGGATCAGAATCATCTGGAGGCTCCTTTACTCACATGTCTGCTGGGAAGACCTGAAGAATTAGAACTGCCAACCAGTCTGCCTGTATGTGGTGGTTTCTCCCTGTGGACACACTCCAAGTGATTTAGGACCAGGCATGGCAGCTTTAGTGTATTTGGATCTTTACAAGGCAGCCAAGGCTCCAAGCATGACTGTTCCAGCAAACACACAGCCTTACTTTTGCTGCTCTGTTGGTCAGAGAAGTTTCAAGCTCACTCCTATTCAAGGAGAGGAGAATTAGACTCTGCCTCTTCACACAGT